ATTCTAGCGAGAGATTCGGACAGAGATCGTGACAAAGACCTCGTGATAAACTACGAGTGGGCACAAGCCCTTAAAATTGAAAGTATAATCCCATTAAAATACCATTTCATTTATTTTATAAAGGCGGAACAACTGTGTAGGTATAGATCACGGATGACACATATAGCGCCATCTATTGGCTGATTTGTGAATTCTTGTCAATCTTAGGTAAGCTACGGCACTTATTACACAGATGCGTCCGTGCTTATTTTTTATAGCAAGCTTTTGCGACGAGTATGTGACCTCCATTTTAAACGCGAATGTGTTGTAGCATGTAAACCAATCTCTTTACAATTACCCAGCCAATGTAACTCCCATATAAACACGATAAGCACCACCATGCACACGTAAATCTCGCTACATTTATTTCCAATTTACACTTACATTTTACAGTCTACTCAACGAATACTTCGGGGAGGCATTCCGAAGCAAAACCCGACGAAATTCAAGCAAGAACACGATTCGACTCCCTCTCGCAGACTTCCCCAGTTATTTACATGTGATCGTCGCCATCGCCGCCGGCTGCCTCTCCTTCGCAGACGACTTCTTCATATATATATATATATATATATATATATTCCTATATATATTTATATATATATATTCAATCTATATATATCCAGAGCTCATCAGAATAAGTCGTCGTGGTCGCTCCCGCCATCTGCCGCTCATTTGCAGAGGTTTTCTTCATATATATAATCTACTATATATATATATATATATATATATCCTATCTATATATATCCAGAGAATCTCATATATATATTATATCTCGTATATATGCTCAGAATATGTCGTCGTGGTCGTACGTGCGAAGTTGACGTGAGTCTTTGAAGGTGCCCTTCTGCGAAGCGTTTGTCGCTGAAATGACAAGAGGCAAGCGTGAGCTGATCGCGTCGACGATGAAGGGGGCAGTATCGCTCCGATCGCACAATCCACGGAGCTGTGACACAACCAATATAGTAGCAGGAGTAGCATCGGCAGTAGTAGCAGCAGTAGTAGCAGTAGTAGTAGCAGTAGCAGCAGTAGTAGTAGTAGCAGTAGTAGTAGCAGTAGCAGCAGCAGTAGCAGCAGCAGCAGCAGTAGTAGCAGCAGCAGCAGCAGCAGCACTACTCCCAGCAGCAGCAGCAGCAACATTCACGCTCCCTACATACCGACGCTGGTCACAACAACATAGATCGTGGCATAGATCGTGACGTAGGTCATGACATAGATCGTGGCCTAGATCGTGACGTAGATCGTGGCATAGATCGTGGTATAGATCGTGACGTAGATCGTGACATAGATCATGGCATAGATCGTGACATAGACTGTGACATAGATTGTGGCATAGACCGTGGCATAGATTGTGGCATAGACCGTGGCATAGATCATGACATAGATTGTAACATAGATCGTGGCATAGATCGTGGCATAGATGGTGGCATAGATCATGGGGATCGTGGCATAGATCGTTGCATAGATCATGACATAGATCATGGCATAGATCGTGACATAGACCGTGACTTAGATCGTGACATAGACCGTAACATAGATCGTGACATAGATCGTGGCATAGATCGTGACATAGACCGTGACATAGACCGTGACATAGATTGTGGCATAGATCGTGGCGTGACATAGATCGTGGCATAGACCGTAACATAGATCGTGACATAGATCGTGGCATAGATCGTGGCATAGATCGTGACATAGACCGTGACATAGACCGTGACATAGATTGTTGCATAGATCGTGGCATAGACCGTGGCATAGATCGTGACTTAGATCATGACATAGATCATGGCATAGACCGTAACATAGATCGTGACTTAGATCGTGGCATAGACCGTGGCATAGATCGTGACATAGATCGTGACATAGATCGTGGCATAGATCGTGAAATAGATTGTGGTGAGCGACGCCTCGCCTTACCGATAGCAGACCAGGACGACGTCGTTACGTCGGCGGCGGGGAGATCTATGATCACGGCCGTAGCTAGAGAGGGGCAAGAGCACCCAGACAAATGTAGATACTATACTATCAGGAGTAAGATATAATATAGGATCTTATATAAGATGATATAGAACCTATATTATCTTACTCCTGATACTATGATACTACGATAATATGGTCTAATCCTTTCATCCAGTAGCCAATGAGATATACATTAATATATATATCGACGTAGATGCCTTGAATCTTTTATAATTACGCGGGTCGTAACTACATAATACTTAAGTGCCTATATGTATACTGACTGTGTTTATACTGACTGCGTTTATATTGATTGTGTGTATATTGACTGTGTTTATATTGATTGTGCGTATACTGTCCGTGTTGGTATTGACTGTGTGTATAATATTACCTGTGTTGATATTGACTGTGTGTATACTTCCTGTGTTTATATTGATTGTGTGTATAATATTACCTGTGTTGATATTGACTGAGTGTATACTAACCGGTGTGTATATTACCTGAGGGCATATCGGTGCGTGTTTGTGATTTGTAGAGATGTTTAAGCTTAGTAAGAGAGACTCGGTGAGAGGCTAGTTGGCTAGTCGTGAATATTCCCTGTGTGAGCGAGCTAGCCTGTAAGTCGGCTGGTGTGTAACCACGCTGGTGTGCGCGCGCGTGCGTGTGTGTTTGTGTGTGCGTGCGTGTGTTTGTGCGCGTGGATTATAGCACCGGGGTTCCCAATAAGTGTTGATATTATTATATACGCGTCTCTTTTCCTATATATTTTTTATCTGATTATTACAGTAACTGTTAGCGTTACCGGTGACAATCACGAGTGTGATGATGATGATGATGATGATGATGATGATGATGATGATGATGACATAACATCGTGATATTAATTAGATGAATTGGTGATCGGGTTTTTATAACGATTTGTTATTTTTGCAATAATGTTCATAATCTGTAATATAGCGTTCATTCTCGTTTCCTTTTATAGTTTTGTAGTATGTTATGCTATAAAATAGCGTTCTTGTTCTGGTGTCTAATCGTGGGGTTGGAGTTTAGTTTTAGAGGGCACGTACTCGTAGTTGCATTACAGTCTTCACTACTCGATGTAAAAGAAGGAAAGGTTATATGGCACTATAGTACGCGTACGAATTACACGGCGAGAACAAAAGGATAAAGGAAAAATCGAAATGAACAAAGGGTTGATATGAGACGCAACACCGAAATTTGGTACATCTAGCGAGAGATTCGAACAGAGATCGTGACAAAGACCTCGTGACAAAGACCTCGTGATAAACTACGAGTGGGCACAAGCCCTTAAAATTGAAAGTATAATCCCATTAAAATACCATTTCATTTATTTTATAAAGGCGGAACAACTGTGTATAGATCACTGTTGACACATAGCCGCCATCTATTTGGGCCTGATTTGTGAATTCTTGTCAATCTAGGTAAGTACGGCACTTATTACACAATAGATGCGTCGCAGTGCTTAATTTTATATAGCAAGCTTTTGCGACGAGTATGTGACCTCCATTAAACGCGAATGTGTTGTAGCATGTAAACCAAAGTCTCTTTACAATTACCACAGCATGTAACTCCCATATAAACACGATAAGCCACACCATGCACACGTAAATCTCGCCTACATTTATTTCCAATTTTACACTATACATTTTACCAGTCTACTCAAACTTCGGCGGAGGCATTCCGAAGCAAAACCGACGAAATTTCAAGCAACGAACACGAAATTCGATTCCCTCTTTCGGCAGACTCCCAGTTATTTACATGTGCATCGTCGCCATCGCGCCGGCTGCCTCTCCTCTTCGCCAGCACGACTTCTTTATATATATATATATATTATATATTCCTATATATATTTATATATTATTTCATCTTATATATTTCCAGAGCCTTCATCAGAATAAGTCGTCGTGGTGCTCGCCATCTGCCGCCCTCCATTTGCAGAAGTTTTCTTCATATATATAATCCATACTATATATATATATATATCCTATCTATATATATCCAGAGAATCTTCATATATATATTATATCTCGTATATATATGCTCAGAACTATGTCGTCGTGGTCGCTACGTGCCCGAAGTTCGTGCAGTCTTGAAGCGTGCCCTCTGCGAAGCGTTTGTCGCTGAATTGACAAGAGGCAGCCGTGAGCTGATCGCGTCGACGATTGAAGGGGGCCAGTATTCGCTCCGATCGCACAATCCACGGAGCTGTGACACTAACCAATATAGTAGCAGCCGGGTAGCATCGACATGTGTAGCAGCGTAGTAGCGTAGAGTTTAGCAGTAGCCCAGCAGTAGTAGTAGTAGTAGCAGTAGTAGTAGGTAGCAGCCAGTAGCCAGCCAGTAGTAAGTCAGGTAGCAGTTAGTAGTAGCCAGCTAGATAGTGCAGTAGCAGCACCCTCCCCCCCCCCCCCCCCGCCGCCCCCCCCCCCCCCCCCCCCCCCCCCTGTAGTAGCAGTAGTTAGTAGCCAGTAGTAGCAGTAGTAGCTAGTAGCAGCAGTAGCAGCAGCAGATAGTAGCTAAGCAGTAGTAGTTAGCTGGTAGCACGCAGTGTGCAGGTAGTTAGTAGCAGTAGCTAGCCAGTAGTAGTTAGCCAGTAGTAGTAGTAGCAGCAGTAGTAGCAGTAGGTTAGCCAGATGCGCAGCAGTAGTAGCAGTAGTGCATGTTGTGCAGTAGTAGTAGCAATAGTAGTAGTAGCAGCCAGTAGGCAGCAGTAGCAGCAGCAGGCACCAGCTAACACACCACACAACAAACCACCAGCAGCCAGAGCAGCACTACCACCATCACCATCTATCATCATCATCAGCAGCAGCCAGCAGCATAAGCAGCAGCAGCAGGCAGCAACACAGTAGCAGGCCAGTAGCAGCTAGTAGCGAGCCCAGCCAGCCACCCAGCACTACACATCACCATCAATCATCATCATCATCATCATTCATCAACAGCAGCAGTAGTAGTAGCTAGTAGCCAGCCAGCAGCCCAGCCGCAGCAGCCAGTCCGCAGAGTAGTAGTAGTAGTAGCAGCAGCAGTGTAGTTAGTAGTCAGCGCAGCAGTATGTCGTAGCCAGCAGCCAGCAGCCAGCAGCAGCCAGCTATCAGCAGTAGTAGTTAGCAGCAGTAGTAGTAGTAGCAGCAGCAGTAGTAGTGCAGCAGCAGCCAGCAGTAGTAGTTTCAGCAGCCGCAGCCAGCAGTAGTATAGCCAGCAAGCAGCAGCAGCAGGTAGTCAGTAGCAGCAGCAGCCAGCAGTTAGTTAGTAGCCAGCAGGCGTAGCAGTAGTAGTAGCAGCAGCAGCACAAGCACTATCCATCCATCACCATCATTCATCATCATCAGGCAGCAGCAGCTAGCGCAGCTTGCAGCTAGAAACAGCAGTAGTGCAGCCAGCAGCGTAGAGTAGCAGCAGCAGCCAGCTAATAGCAGCAGATGTAGTAGAGCAGTAGCAGCAGCCAGAGCAGTAGCTAGTACAGCAAGCAGTAGTAGCAGCAGTAGTAGCCAGCAGCAGCATGCAGTAGTAGCAGCAGCAGCAGTAGCAGCAGCAGCAGCTGTTAGCAGCAGTAGCCAGCAGCAGCAGCTAGTAGTAGCAGCAGCCAGCAGCTCAGTAGTGCGCAGCATGGCAGTAGTAGCAGCAGCAGCAGACAGCAGCAGTAGTTAGCGTAGTAGGCAGTAGTAGTAGCAGCATGTAGCAGCAGCAGCAGTAGCAGCGGTACAAGCAGCAGACAGCAAGCAAGCAACAACAACTACAGCAGTTAGCAGCAGCCAGCTGGTTGTAAGCCAGCAGCGGTAGTAGCGCAGCAGCAGCATGTAGTAGCGCCAGCAGCAGCTACATTCACGCTCCCTACATACCGACGCTGGTCACAACAACATAGATCATGCAATAGAGATCGTGACGTAGGTCATTCGACATTAGATCGTGAATAGATCGTGGCCGTTAGTTCATGACGTAGATCGTGCATAGATCGTGGTTATAGATCGTGACGTAGATCGGTGACCATACGAATCGTGGCATAGATTCATGACATAGACTGCTGACATTAGATTGTGCATAGCATTATGACATAGACCGTGGGCATAGATCGCTGCGCTTAGCATTTGCTGGACATTAGATTCGTGGCATAGATCATGGCATAGATCGTGGCATAGCATGGTGGCGTAGATGGTGGGCGTAGATCGTGGCGGATTCGCTGCATAGAATCGTTGGATAGATCGCTGACATAGATCGGTGACATAGGACCGTGACATCGATTGTGCATAGATCGCTGGCCATAGACCGTAACATGATTCGTGAAATAGATTGTGGTGAGCGATGCCTCGCCTTACCGATAGCAGACCAGGACGACGTCGTTACGTCGGCGGCGGGGAGATCTATGACGGGCTGCCTCCTCGCAAGCGACACCTTCAACGTTACTCCCTGCACCATGCTGCCGTTCATCTGAAATCGTACGAGAAAGACTCGTATTGCTGCCGTCTGTCAATTACCTCTCGCCTAAAAATGTCCAGGGGGGCTCCAGTGTCAGAAACAAATCACAGTCTTGTCATTAGTAATAAATCATTAGTCATTAGTAATAAATCAATTATAATAAATCATAAATATTTCATCATTAGTAATTGATCATTAGTATTTGCTCAGACTGTCGACAGGAACGCGGCGAAGTTTCTTGTACGCTGCATGCAGAGGTCCGGTCTACGAGAAAAAGTTGATGTTAAGAATACATTCAGGGTTGCAGGCAAAATTTAGTCAAAATTTTAATACCAATTTTATTTGATAGATGGCGCCTCTGGGCAGATATATATGTGTGGTTTATTACGTCCGGTCTACGAGAAAATGTTCATGTTGAGACTAACTTTGATCCTGAAAATGGGACCCAGCACCATGCAACCCAGGCTAGCATTCAAACTACTGCTATGAACTGTAATCTGTATGTAATGAATACTGTATCGAAAATACTCGTAGTGCTACTGACTGTAGACACTCAAAAGAACACCGGGGCCCCACCCCGAAAATTCGAAATACTACGTCAACAACTTTTGGGGAGGGGGGAATCTAACGAGTACTTCAAAAGCAGAACAATGAAAACCGGCCGCTTACGTAGAAAGAGCTGCAAAAGGACCAACCGGATGCGTGTTGTTTTTTCAATCAACACATTTGTGATGATGTGATCGATTGATTGATTGGATTAGATGGATGTTGCTTCATGTTTTGCCGTGCAAAAACAATCGGAAGCGTATTTACAGTAGGTGACCGTGTGCTACACTCACCTCATTTATGCACTGTTCCGCCGCCTGGTTTGTCTGGAACGTAACGAATCCGCAGCTGCAAAACGCAACAACAGACGACGTTAGCGATGCATCCCAGCAGGGGGGCGGAGAAACCTCACGAATGCGTAACCCCGGCAACAAAACGCCGACGTAACCACAACAAAGCACGCACGTGAAACGCGACTACTGCAATCACGGCGATCACTTCTCGAATCGACGATGAAACGGCCGACACCACCCCATCCCGCATCTGCAACAATGGCTGTCGATGTCTCAAATTGCCGATGCGGTGGCGCCCCAACCCCGGCTGCCGATGAACCCGCAACACGGTGGCGCCCCCAACCCCCCACCGCCGACTAATCGGTAACACGGTGGCGCCCCCAACAGCGACGAAACGGTGTACGTGCACCTACTTTTTCACTCGAACACGTAAACAAAACAGCGGTGTAACCACCAAAGTACACACGTGCAACGCACTGCAATGGTGATCGCTTCTTGAACCGACGACGAAATGGGCGACCCCCCACCCCCGCACCTCCGTCGTCAACAAATCGGCACTGCAGTGGCGCCCCCAATCCCCGCTGCCGACGATTCCGCAATGCGGTGGCGCCCCCCAACCACCACCCCCCTCTCGCTCGCACATACTTTTTCTCGGCTTCCATCGAGACGTTGAGGATGGGTCCGAAGTTGACGAAGGTCTTACGCAGCATCTCCTCGGTGACGTTGTAGCCGCGCACGTAGATCGTGTTGCCGCGCCGCGGCTCCCGCTCGTAGTCAAAGTCCCGCCGCGGCGTTCGCTCCCCAGACGTGCGGTCGCCTCCGTCTGCACGCGCGCATGCACGAGAGAAACAAGTGAACGTTGTAGCCGCGTTCGCTCCCCCGACGCGCGGTGGCCTCCGTCTGCACGCGCGCACGCATGAGAGAAACAAGTGAACGTTGTAGCCGCGCTCGCTCCCCCGACGCGCGGTGGCCTCCGTCTGCACACGCGCGCAAGAGAGAAACAAGTGAACGTTGTAGCCGCGCTCGCTCCCCCGATGCGCGGTGGCCTCCGTCTGCACACGCGCGCAAGAGAGAAACAAGTGAACGTTGTAGCCGCGCTCGCTCCCCCGATGCGCGGTGGCCTCCGTCTGCACACGCGCGCAAGAGAGAAACAAGTGAACGTTGTAGCCGCGCTCGCTTCCCTGCCGCGCGGTGGCCGCCGTCTGCACACGCGCGCAAGAGAGAAACAAGTGAACGTTGTAGCCGCGCACTTAGATCGTGTTGCAG